TTGACTGGAAAAAAGGTGGTCTCTGATTTTTACACAGTGCTGTATGTCAGTGAAAGGGATCTGTATTCTGCTGACAGATGCACTATACTGCCTGTGACTCCTAAAGAAGATGGCAGTGGCCTTGATATGGATGAGTAAGCAGTTAAGGGTGGGGGAAAGAGACAAACACTAACATTAACAGCTACTGAAGACCCAAATGGTCACATTTAGCATTTTTATTAAACCTGACACTGAAGCAAGAGATTTCAGTGGTGTCTGTCTATCCTCTACAGAGGATTTTCAGGTGAACGGCATGCGATTATGACAAACTAGGATCAATCCTGAAGTCTATACCTGCAGAACTGAGCTAAGGTCAGTACAAAAGGGGCCTCTTATACCAGTACGGTTAGATAACAATCTTTGATTTACAATTACATCACAGAGATCAATGAGCCACTGTGATATGGGCTTTCGCCATAGTTAGAGATATGAGCCTAAATGGCCAACAGAGGGCGCACTACTGAAGCCACTCCAGCAGCAATTACTCCCCAAAAGTAATTTTTTTTGTTGACAATTGTTGAAGGCCTTTTTCTTTAGAATTCATAACTGAATCCAATGTGTTTCTTGGTTTCTGCAGAGAACACTTGAATTTACTTTATCTAGTTTATTTTGAGGTTTAAAACTGAAAATATTATCACTGTCCAAAGAAAAATGTGTTTCTACAAAATGACGACTTCACAGCAAAGGGGCAAAATGTTCTTTGCTTTTAATGGATGTTAATGTAAAGAGATTTTATTTCAATACATTTTGGAGCATTTCTATTGGTCCATTCATCTTCAAATTTTCCCCAAATGTAAAGGACAACCATCATATTAAAATGGTATACATAAATAAAAATCACCAAGATGGAGATATTGTTTCTTTTGGAGATATTATTCTTGATATTATTCTTTGACCTGTAGTTTCCTAATGACTTAACCATGAGCATGGCTGGAGTGTGAACTCGACCAGGAGTTATATAGGCAGGCCAGCCCACCCCAAATTTTCTCTGCTGCACACCCACATGCACAACATCAATTACTCTCATAACTTGAAATATAAAGGTAAGCAACTTTAAAAGCATAGTGAAAGCTTTTACTGTTGTTTACACACAGGTCCTGACAAAGACATGGCTAGCCAAAAACACAAGGTCAAGACATGGGCACGGCCAACACCCCGTGTGCAAAAAGAGACACGACAAAATGATACTTTTTTGTGTTTAATATGATTCAATTTGATTGAACATCAGGTGCAGGGAGTGGACTGGAGTTCACACTAACCAACACTAAACCTTTTGGATCCCCCTAGAGGCAGGGCCACTGGAAGGTGCCCCCCCAGTTACACATTACTTTCATGTTAGCGTGGAATGGAAATAGCAGTATGTATAGAACGATATCATCAGCTATCATCTCTAATATGTGTATCTATGGTTCTAGAGGTCCGTGGGTTCCACACATGGACAAATTCATTTTTGAGAGACAGTCGCTGCTGTTGGACAGAAGCAGTGCCATGCTGCAGCACCCCCCACTGAAACATTTGGGTCAGGCTCTTTGTCCAAGTGCGCACTGGCAGCAGTCGGAGAAAGGGCAGGGCTATTACGCTCTGAGATTCTCCAGCAAATGGTCCAACTGTCCCTGCTGCCATGCGATCCAAATGACTCCCACGAGTCTGTGAAGTGGAGCTGTAACTTTCTGACTCACTGCCGCCTCAGATTCAGCATGAATCCAAACAATGATTAAACATTTCTGCAGACAGCAAAATCTAAAAACAGCAAAATAATAAATAAAGGAATGAACTCCTAGAGCTGGACACAGTAGTTAATTTAACATTGTTGGAGGTGAAGGGGAATTCCACAGAATTTTCAAGATTTCTGAGTAATTAAATCAAACAAAGTCATTCAGCACGGTTTGTTAGAAAATGCTTCATTCCAGAGAAACTTAGAGAGTCAGATTTGTAGGAGGAAGATGTCTAAAGAGTTGAACGTCCCTTTAGCTACCTCACAGAACAGTCAAGTCAAGTCAAAGTTTATTTATGTAGAGTTTTTTACAGCAGGTGTTGTCACAAAGCAGCTTTACAGAAAAATCTGGGTCCGAGCCCCCATGAGCAAGCCAGTGGTGACAGTGGCAAGGAAAAACTCCCTAAGAGCAGGAGGAAGAAACCTTGAGAGGAACCAAGACTCAAAAGAGGAACCCATCCTCCTCTGGTCCACACCACATAGCAAACAGCATTAGTATAAAATGTTAGAATACAAAACAGGAAAAACAGGTGGAGCAGCGGTTAATTAAATAGTTTGAGTTTATGCAGCAGCAGCAGCATCAGCAGGAGGGTCAGTTCATGCAGGTGAGGTGCAGATCAGCCGACAGAGAAGGGGCAAATATAAAATTTGCTCCATCACTTATTATAAAATAATTAATTAAATATTAGGAACCTGCTGCCTGATGCCTGAGACATTGTTTTATAGTTTTGAGGTAAGCTTTTGTCCTAAAACATACTTTTTGATGGTGGAGTGATACATACAGGGCTTTGTTAATGAAAAACAAATATTTTCACCATTTTAAACATATATGAAGCTCAGAAGACACATTTGGGTTCACTTGCCACTTAATAAAGACTAAATATGAAATAAAATGGCTATTTTTGTGTTATCAACATCGCAACCTCTGGACCATCATCACCACCACCATAATTAAATTCGGTTTTCTCTACAGTGCTCCATTTCACATCAGACCACTCTCAATGACTTTGTTTACATCTTAAAAACTGAATTAGGTGGAGATTTTGAAAAATGGATACAGTGGATGCAGTGCAGAGTAAACACTATGTGTTCATTCAGTCCTGTTGTTTCAATACTATAGATGTCCCCTCAGTGTTAATTCATCGCTGTAGATGTTCATTCAACACTGTAGATCAGGAGTGCCCAGCATGGTGAGTTTAATTCCAACAATACTGGCTCTCATATTCAGATGCCTCTGTAGGCGTTGATTAGCTGGAGCAGGCTTATTAGATGAGGGATGGAAATAACCCCCCCAGCTTTATGGATCATCAGGACCAGGGCTGAGCATCACTGCTGTACACTGCAGTTGTTCATTCATCATTCTGGATGTTCATTCAACACTGTAGGGTTTCATTCAGCACTGGAGACGTTCATTCACTTCTACAGATACCATTTCAACCCTGATGGTGTTTATTCAAACTGCAGTTTATCCAGCACTGGGGACCATGAGTTCTATATAGAACCATTGCATGCTTGAATGGTTCTACGCATGGTGAAATGGTTTTTCAGATTGATGGAGAATGTGCTGTATGTGGTTCTATATAGAACCTTTTAAAAATGCTTCTATATAGCACCAAAATGTTTTCTTCTATTGTTAGTTTGTCAAGCTTGTAATAATAGAATAACCCTTTTTGATACTATATAGAACCATATACACCCTTGAAAAAGATGGCTCTTCAAGGGTTCTTTAGCAAAGAAAATGGTTCTGTGAACCGTGAAGACTCATAACCCTTTGCATGATTAAAGGCTTCTTTGCATCATGAAAGTGTTCTTCAGATTGATGGAGAGTGTGCTGTAGATGGTTCTATATAGAATCTTTTGAATGTAGCACCAAAAAGGGTTCTTCTACTGTTACAACCCTTTTTTGTGCTTTATAGAACCCTTTCAGAAATGTTAAAATCAATTTAAAGAATCTTTTCACAATGCAAAGAACCCTTTAGTCATGCCAAGGGTTCTTTGAGTGTTCATGGGTCTATATAGAACCAATTTCTTTACTAAAGAACCCTTGAAGAACCATAATTTTTAAGAATGTACAACACATTCTCCATCAGTCTGAAGAACCATTTCACCATGCATAAAACCTTTTAAGCACGAAATGGTTCTATTTAGAACTCATGGTTCTAGGTTTTCGACGTTTACGTTCCATTATGACAACGAATGGTACTGTTTTGGTTTCAGTGCAGAGAAAGAAACCACGCTCATGTTTCACTCCTCCCCGCAGCATCAGGTGGGCAAAGCCTCATAAGCGAAGACTGGACGGTCGTTTTGCTCTCGAGCTTGTCCATCCAGCACAAACCGAGCGACCCCCCCTCCTTCTTTCCTCGTCCGCGGCGGCGGCGCGACCACGTGTCCGCGTGATGGAGAGACGAGCCTTCCTCGGGACCCCTCCTCCTCCTCTTCCTCCTCTTCCTCCTCCTCCCACGGTTGCTTCACGTCTCCAAGGCTGCGGGGGCATATTCGTACCGGGCGCGCTGCTCCGTCCGCGCCGTGAGATTTAAAGAGGACGACGAAAAAAACACAGAAGAACCGTGAAAGTTTTTTTTTGGTAGAGAAAAACTAAATTAAGACAAAAAGAAGAAAAGAAGGCCAAATTCATGAGAATGAGAGTGAGAATTTTTGCTGCAGTTTCTGGGGAATGGAAGTGAGTCCTGATTGAGAGAGAGAGTGGGGGGGTGGGGGGAGCGAGAGAGAAAGAGAGGGGCGGGGGGCGATTGAAAAAAAAAGAAGAAGAGGAGAAGGGGGGCTGTAACGTAACGTGACGCGAGCGCACTCGGTGATGGGCTCAGTTGGGGTCACCGCAACAGCGCAGGATGCGTGCTCGCGCTCGTGGCGCTCGCCCCGGTCGTCCTCGCCCTCGTCGCGCGGCTTTTGACGCCGCCGCGCGCGTTGTCGCGCGCCCTTAAAGCGCGGAGGGAGCGAGCAGGCGAGCGAGCGAGCGGGCGGCGGGGCGCGAGCCCCCTCTACTATGCCATGGTCCCTCGCGCTGCAGCCGTTCGCCTCGCGCCGTCGTCAGGTTAAAGCCGCGCTGCGCCCGCCGCCGCTGCTGCCGCCGCCGCCGCCGGCCACGCACGCGCCCCCGCGCGCCTTCGCCGGATGCCATTTCGAGAGCGCGGGCCGCGCCGCTTCTCCCGGTTCTGCTGTCTGTACTGCTGCCGCCGCCGCTGACCAGTCGGACGGAGCGACGGGAGAACGAGAAGAGGAGGAAGAAGGAGGAGGAGGCGAAGAGGAGGAGGAGGACGAGGAGGAAGAAGAAGAAGAAGCGGCGCCGCCGTTCTGCACGAGAGCCGAGCGAGCCGGGCTGTTATGCAACCGCGAGGAGCTCTTCTCTATGAGGCTCTATTCTAGGCTGCTGGGTCGCTCCTCGCCCAGATCGATGTGGTTTCTGTGGAACATTGTCAGCAAAGGATCGCATATGCTGCAGTGTCTTTGTGGCAAGAGTCTTAAGAAAAACAAGAACCCGAGTGGTAAGGAACCTCCAGCACCACCGACACACACCCTCACCGCGCGCACGCTGCGCTGTCCGTGTGCGGTAGCTCACAGTCAGCGCTGTTGAATGCCTTCTGCTGCTGTGGCTTTTTTGTTGTGTTTTGTGCAGCAAGTGAGAGGAAGAGGAGGGAGGAAGGTGGTGGTGGTGTATGTGTGCTGCTAACAGAGGTGTGTATGGGGGGTGGGGGGTGTTGGGGAGGGGGATAAGTTATTACCGAGCTGAGGTGCAGCAAGAAAAGCCACTCTGCGTAAAAAAAGCGAGAGCGCGATCTCCATCGCGCGCAACTTTCACAGCAGAGCAGCCCAATGTGACCCGGACTGAGACTGCGGCGCTCTCTCTCTCCGGGTCCCCTGGACTGGCTCTGCTGTGGAGACTGCTGCTCTTCTCGGTGCGCTCGGCAGCTGCTGCAGTGGGGCTGCTTCTGCAGACCACTTTGGTGGTCCAGTCTGGCGCGTTTCATGACGGAAAGCGTAAATAAATAAACAAATAAACTTCAGCTGGTATGAACGTGGTCACGTGTGGAGCCTATATAGCATAGTATGCAGAGAATGGAGCCTATAGCAAAACTTAGTAGGCTCTTCAGCTTAGTGACAGACAGCGACCAGGGTTGGTTAGATAGACAGATAGATAGACAGACAGATACCTCTTTGACCCGTGTAGACTGACGGCCTACCCGTATCAACAGCACGGGGGCCGTTGTGGAATGGCTGCTGTGTAAAAACTGCATCTAAAGTAGGCTAATGTTTTATTTATGCCACAATTGAAGCAGCGCCTGCAGTGTGTCTCACTGTAGCTCAGCATTTCTGAGAGTTAGGCTGGCAGGACACCTCACCGAATCACGGGGTTACTGACTGGCTTAAATGAATAAATAAATATATAAATAATGCTATAGAGAGACGAGAAACGCGAGTGTGATTAGGCTGCGTTCACTCAGACGCGGCTGAAGTTAACAGTGGCGGCCTCTCGGCTTCCGTATTCGCCGCTGTGCTGCAGTGTAGTAGATCACCACAGAGCCCAGCAGCCGAGACTGACACGAGAAACCAGTCTGATTAACGTCTGTCCCCGCTCCATGTAGCCCCCAAAAGTCTCATAAAAGCCAACCAAAAGCCCCATGATGCTTTAAACCCAGCAGACAAGCAGGCGGAGAGGCCAGGGCCGTAGTTAATGTGCTACCTGTTAGCCTCAAAATAAGACTTCATCACCTTTTGTTGTCACCTTTTGTTTGTGTTCTGACAGAGGGAGTCTCACATAAACAGCACTGTTATCACAGCTTTTCTATAAGCTCATATGAGTGCTAACGTCATCAAATGTCACTAAATATGTTTGAGGGCACTTCCGGTTCTTCTTGGGGGGGGGGCTCTCTGCAATGGTGTGGTGCAGTTTCTGTTCAGGCAATTTAATAAGGCTTTACAGCATTACATTAGGCCCTGATCAGTTGGTTGTTCTGTAGTAGGCCTGATCTTGGGTGCAGCATTTTATCCATCTACCTCACAATTTTATGTTGTTTTCATGTTTTGATTCATCAGTGTTCTCTTAGCAAGCATTACGCTTCATACAACCACAGGAAATCCCTATGGTTCTTAGCCAGTCCTGACTGCTAGACTAGCTACTGACCTATAGGCTGTTAATTACAGCCGTGCTAGGATTAACATTTACACTAGACTGCCCCCAAAACAATCCATCAAAAGCAGCTGTAGACTTTCAGAAGTTTTTGAACCTACAAGATGCATCATCACAAAATGAGAAGGGCTGGGCTTTAAACCCAGAAATCTCAGTTCTTGCTAATGTAGCTCAGTTTTAGTAATGCATTGCTGTAGTATGCAGGTAAGCATGCTTGTAACAGATGTGTTGATGGCTATAGATTTTTATTTCCTTCAACTTAGTCACAGTCACGGATGTGTTAAATTGTGTGTTGGACTCATTGACATTCATGATCAGCCTGAAAACAAGTTCTTGAAAACAAATGCTTTCATCTGGGAACTGTGTGCTAACAAATCTTATGAGTTGAGTGCGTGTCTGCCTGCATGTGCCTAGCTTGACAGGTAGTAATATCAAATTGAGTATATGTTTAGGGCAGGCTAAGTGGAAATGATTGCCAACACTGTGCTTGTAAGTCAGTTAGGCTGTGTCATTATTACAGTGTAGCTATAATGAGGTTGACATGTAGATCTCACAATGGTTTTCTGATTCCAGTTGAAAAGAGCCAGCACACCCCTGAAACAGCAGAAGACTATTTGGTCAAGACTTCATCATTTTCCAATCAGTCCACTAATTGCCTGATGCATATCACTGCTATTTCCTGGATCTGATTTAAGGTTTCTAATGTAACATCTGGTTTGAATAGGTCAATGACTATGATGGCTAAGGTATATTTATGCCTATAGACAGAATATATTCTCTGGCCACCAATGATTTGCCAACGACTTGTGATTGGGCTTTTGAATTCCATTTAAACTTTTTAGGTTTTATGACAGTTAAAGCCTGACTGTATTCGGTCGAAAAAGGCCTTCCACAGCACATTATAGACTGTACAGGTCAATAGTAGCTTCTGCTTCACATTATGACCTGAATTGTCTTTCTTTGGCAATAGTAGCTTTTCATTGTCTAAAAGCTGTTGGTATCCTTTACATTCTGAATCTATTTGCAGGTCTCTGTAAAAACCTTATGTGATCCTCTATAGTGTAGCTATTTTCTTAACAGTATGTAATTTCCTAACATATGCCTAAAACTTAAGGTCTCAATCCAGACCAGTTGCCAGATCTGTATATGCGGAAATATCTTGATTCTTTTCACATTTTGAAATATGGCTCTCCTTTGTTTAAACCACTTTAATGGAACTCTAAACCAGTGTTGATGTATTGATACAGACAATCAATATTAACGCTTCCATTACTTTCATTTTCAAAGCTCTTTAACCTTCCACAATGAAATGTGATGTGATATGAGACCACAGTGGTCAAGCTGCTTCAGTTGTAGTAATATGAGAATCCCAGCGGAGGTCTTGGCTTTTTTCTCTCTTGGATTTGTGTCATAAGACAGAAAGAAATGGAAGTGTGATGGAAATGGAAGTGAAAGATCCTTGATTAAAGACTTCATAGAATGTTTATAACATACATGTCCTGTATCCTGTATCCATGAATGCCTATGTAGACAACTGCAGACAATAATGAAAAATAATGACGAATTTGTCGTGAATTAACCATATGTCACATCTCTGTGATTGAACATCTACACTTTTCTTCAAGGGTTCTTTAGTAAAGGGAAAGGTTCTGTTTAGAACTATGCGTTCTACATAGAACCATTTCATGCTCAAATAGTTCTTTGCATGGCAAAATGGTTCTTCAGATTAATGGAGAATGTGTTGTATACGGTTCTGTATAGAACCTTTTTTAAATTGGTTTTTGGTGATATATAGAACCATATACACACATTCTAGGTCAATCTGAAGAACAATTTCACCATGCAGAGTATCATTTAAGCATGAAATTGTTCTATATAGAGCTCATGGTCCTAATTACAACCATTTCCTGTACTAAAGAACTTTGAAGAACCATCTTTTTTAAGAGTGTAGATTTAGTAAATGCGGCTCTTCTAGCAAAACAGACATACGGCATATTTTTCAGTTTCTAAAGTACCATTTGACTTGCTCTTATTGAAAATATCAGACAGATATTGGGCCCACTGGCAGGCCCAAAGTTTTATTCCACACTTCTATAACTTAAGCATAGTTCAGCCAGTTTGCATTGAAGTCCCTGTAGTTACTGAATGATAAGCCTTAGTGTGTAATAAGCCTGGGGTTTTAAGGGGTTAACACTACATCCTATTCAGTGTACAGCAGTTTAGCCCCGCCCATTCACATTGAAGTTATAAGGAGCGTTACAGACTGAATTACTTTTTAAATATTTACATACAGTATGTCAGTCTTAAAGATATAATACCAACAGCAGCCTGTTTAATTCTAAGACTGCTGACACACTAAGCCGACTATTCACCATTGGATGGTGTCAGGCCGCCTGTGAGCCTCGGTGGCCGACCGAAACCATTAGTTTGTGTGGTGTGTTCTGCCTTGGTGGCTCTAGTTGACTCTTTGTCAGCACTGTTTGGGCCAGGTGAAGATGGTGAACCAGTGTTGGTGGTTGGCCGTGAAAGAGCTAAGAATCAAGGTTTGAGGAGAGAAATGGAAGATCGCAAAACAAGAAAACGGCATTCTCAGTAGCACACAATGCTGGTGCAAAGTTTTACTGTTTTTATTTTTATAGTTTTAGTATTTTTGCTATAGAAATGTCATAAATTGATAAAAATAATATTTAACTATAGTATTCTCAGAAAGAAAATATGTAAAGTTGTTATGAATATGCAAGGATACACAAGAGCTCTGAAGATGCTCTGATAGCACACTAAAATAAAGCAAACTCAGTTTTACTTTTTGTCATCTAATTATTAACATATACCAACCACACATTTTTTTGGTTTATTTCAAGTGTTTAACTTTAAGATGTTTTACCCTAGTAGCCTTTTTTGCTAGTGTTTTAAGACTTTGCTATATTAGCACCAAGCTAATGGTGGTTTACTTTCACTTTCGCACACTGTGTTTAGCTTAGACATGGATATTTGAAGCTTGTAAGATGTTTACTTTGTGTGTTGCAGTTTTAGTTTTACAGGCTACTGCAGCTCCGGCTATAGAGAGCTGTTCCCTTTCACACAGGCATATTAAGTTTGGTCATGTTGGCTGACAGCTGTTGTTTTTTTGCTGCGTGTTCGAGTTCAGATTTTCACAGGAGACGTGAAGTGATGGCAAGCTGATGGAAGGCGATCTGCACTTGGTCACTTACTTGGCTCTAGTTCTTTGTTCTACTTGGTATGTCTGCGACCAAATGATGAGAAGAGAGTGTGGAAAATGGTCATATAAAAATGAATTATGGTGTTTTTGGTACATAAACTTATGCAAATGTCATAGGAAAACAGGGGAAACAATAC